TGGAATATCGCATAAATAATCTCCTAGGTTTTCTTAAAATATTTATTTAACCCTTAGCCGGCGGCCGAACTATATATAGATGGTCCGGAATGTGCTGAAAAATTGTGGTGAGACTATACTGTATATAGAAGCTTCTCCAAAATTCATCTCCTGTATTTCCCAGATGAGACTATATATAGTCAGATATGTATGAGTGCCCTAGAGCCTCAGAAATCCCCAACTAGCAACTCAAGGGTGGCGATGGCTTGCCTGATCGCTGGCGCCAGCCTCCTAAAGCTCCAATCACTCAAACAGTCTGTTCCCATCTTTCATAAGGTACAGAGCACTCTCTTTGGTCTCATCTGTGGAGCTAAATTTCCATTTCTTTCTTTTGATATTTTGAAGAGAGCTAAGTTTTGTCAGATATAATTTTCAATTATTGTTTTTTTGTCTGTTTGGCATTTCACCAATCATTTACTTTTTATTTTCTTTGACTGCACATAAAAATGATAGCCATAATTATGTTCCATAGGAGGAACATTCCTGATGAAGAAATACAGTATTCTAGACCACGATTTTGATGATGAATTCATGGATGATATTAGTGATGATGCAAAATCAGATAGTGGTGGTGATCACACAGATCGTGGTGATGAATCACAACTTGAGATTATTACAGAGGAACCAGATGATATTCTGTCAAGTGCAGAAGTTGATGGTCAAGATGACAGTGCTCCAGTTGGATGGTTGAGCAATTCTCCAGTTAGTAGAGAATGATTTCCATTTACTGGAGACACGGGAGTGAAAGTAGTTTTGCAAGATCCTCAGAACCCAATTGAGATTGTTCCGTCTTTTGTAGACAGAGATATAATAGAACATAGAGTGAGACAAACAATTATGCTGCCAAGGTCTGTAAAGAAAATAGGAGCGCAAGGGTATTACAAAGTACTACAAGAAGCTATTTTTCAGGCTGATAGAAATGAGTTTGCATAACTGCCATGTAATCTACAAGAGAAATGGAGGCCAGAAAAACCTCCTTGACTTCAAGTTGCTCTTAATTGAACAGATTGTGTCTGCAAAAAGCAAAGATGTTTATTGGATAAAGAAACCCACAAGCTCAGTGACTCTTGGGCCCGTGCCCTACAAGACTGAGTGGAAGACATTTCCCAATAGAGACAGTCAGCTGAAGATGGTAGTACAAAGATGGTTCAAAGGAGATGTACTTACTGTGCAATGCAAAACAGAGTGAGGAAAAGTATCTACAGCTGTAATGTTTGTCAAGTTACACTGTGTATTACTCCATGTTTTAAGCTTTACCACACATCAGAAAGCCTTCCAATGTAGGAGAATGACAGCAGTGAATGAACAAATGCCATAAGAAGCAACAGTAAGGCAACAATATAGTAAGAGAGGGTGGGAGGGAAACCATATCCAGGTCACAAATCCTGGACACAGCTTTGGCTGTGAGTGACTACACGTACCTTACTTATACGAATATAAATAATAGCCACTTACAAAATTCACGTTATTAATATTAAAAGCATCTTTGCTATGTTAATGAAATATAGCAACTGTTCCATATTGCAGTAGAGTCTACAGTATATATAGATGGTGTTAAAATTTAACAAAATGCAGTGTAACTTTATTTATGTTCCACTCCAGTGGTCAGCGGCATCTATATAATGACGATTTTTAAATTTGGCACTTCTTCAGTCACTGCTGCCGCCGGCTAAGGGTTAATAATGTAGATGCAGTTTATGCGACATTACATGTTATTTTTGGATGTTTAAGTTGGTTACCCAAAGTCGTTCTAGAGTAAAAGTCTGATGAGTTCAGTACAATACAGTGATCCCTCGGTTAACGAAATTTTGGTTAACGAATTACCTTCCATAAGAATCTTCAACTCGATTAACGAACAAAAATTCGGTTCACAAAATCCTTACGAAATCGTGTCAACGTGTTTTCGCCTGCTTTCGCCTGATCACCAGCTGGAGTATTAGTCCGCCAATACAGTAATCAGTTTTAGGGCTTAAATTCGTTCCCATTTGAGTAAATATCAAGAAGGTTGTACTATTCAATAATTTTAAAAGTCTTATATTAAAATTTTTAGTCATTTTAACAATTACTTAACATAATTGAAGTACAAGGAACTAGTTTTTAGCGCACCAAACAGCCACTTGACTCACCCAGAATGGCGTCAATTTGTGTCTCTGCTCAGCGGAGGAAGCATCTTGCTTGAGACTCTCTTGAACATAAACTATTACAGTAGTACCCTGCTTAACGAGGTCAATAAAACCCACAGGGTACCGTGTTAAGTGAAAACCGCGCTAAGTGAACAACAGAACATATGGGATTAATTCCAATAGAAACTGGCCCAATCCCCAAACTCCACTTTTTCCGACACAATACCTATGTTCTAGTAAAAATAACATCTTAATTTTATGATGGTACATGCACACAATTAATACTTAAGAGAAATAGAGAAATACAGTCGCCAAGTTAATGTCCATTCAAATAATGGACTCAACTCCCTCCCCCTCTTCTCACACTACACTGCTGGCTCTTCCCTCTGAGAAATTTTTTGGGGAAACCACTAAATTTTAATAAATAATACCTCAAACTAAAGTTAGGATAATACAATTGACATTGCTGGATTCCTTGTAAGACCAGGAATATTTTGAATATAAATGTCATATATTTTGCACAAAAGATAACATATTTACTCAGAGTAAACATTAGATCTAAAATTTGTATGTCTAATGCAAAATCTATGATGTTTATATTCAAAATGATCATCAAATTATAAGAATTCCAGCAATATAAATTATATTCTAACTGGGTAATTTGTATGAATTTTATGAGCTAAAACAAATATCTTCAGTTAATACAAAAAAAATAATATTCTTCACACGGTAACAGATGGTCGGTCGGTCCCTCCCTCCACCCCCCACCAACCGTCCCTACCAGTGTGTGGGAAAACCAGAATATTGACCTTTTTAGTAATAAATAATACCTCAAATTAAAGTTAGGATAATATAATTGACATTGCTGGATTCCTTGTAAGCCCAGGAATATTTTGAATACAAATGTCATATATTTTGCACAAAAAATAACATATTTACTCAGAGTAAACATTATATCTAAAATTTGTATGTCTAATGCAAAATCTATGATGTTTATATTCAAAATGATCATCATATTGTAAGAATTCCAGCAATGTAAATTATATTCTGGCTGGGTAATTTGTATGAATTTTATGAGCTAAAACAGGCAGTCATGCAGGGTGGTGGGTGGGGCGAATCTAAAAATAGCTCTCGAGTCGGACACTCACCGCGTATACGTGGAAAAAACCCGCGTTAAGTTAAGTGAAAGTTCGGCTCTGGCGAGGCACCGCGTATACGGTAAAACGCGCTAAGCGAAACCGCGTTAAGCGGGGTAATACTGTACAGTGACCCCTCCGTTAACGAACTCAATCCGTTCCAGAAGGTCGTTCGTTAACCGAAAAGTTCGTTAACCGAAACCATTGTTTCAATGGGTTTTTGGGTAATTGGTTCCAGCTCACCGAAAATTTTCTAAATTCAACAAAAAGGGTAGAAAAGTTCACTTACTTTGAGGTGTGTATGTAGAAGGCTCCTGGATGATGATGATGGGATTTAGAATGGGGGTGGAGGAGAAGGAAGAAGATACGGCATTGGGGTGGAAGAGAAGTCACCCCATGGCGCCATTTCACCCATAAAATTTTAGCTCTCTTGGTGTAATTCAAGATTATTTTCTTTAAATCAACACTGCACTGCATTATATATTGTCAATATGTAAAATATATTTCAAAATGACCAATAATTTGCTTGGAAACACAGAAAAAAAGCGTTTAGTTGAAGAGAGTCTCAAGCAAGATGTTAACTCCAGTGAAAACAGAGAGAGACTAACTCCTGTTTGCTGTGTTAAGAGGCTGGATGCCGTGCATTAAACTAGTCACTTTACCTTCCATTATGTTCAATAATTGTTAAAATGACTAAAAAATTGAATATTAAACTTTTAAAATTATTGAATAGTATAAACTTCTTGATATTTACTAAAATAGTAAGGAATTTAAGCCCTAGAACCGGTTAATGTATTGGCGGACTGATACTAAAGCTGGTTGCCCGGTCAGTGCAAGCTCGTAAGAACTTCGTTAACCGAATATTTTTTCGTTGTAACCGAATTGAAGATCCTTATGGAAGGCAGTTCGTTAATCGAAATTACGTTAACCGAGGTGTTCGTTAAACGAGGGGTCACTGTATTATGTTTTACAGTACAATTATTGGTCATTCTGTAATTTATTTTACATATTGAAAATATATAGTGCAGTGCAGTGTTGATTTAAAGAAAATAATCTTGAATTACACCTAGTGAACTTAAAATTTTATGGGTGAAATGGCGGCATGAAGCATGGGGTGATTTCTCTTCCACCCCACTGCCTTCTCTTCTCCCTTCTCCTCCACCCCCACCTCTAATTCCCATCATCATCAACCAGGAGCCTTCTACATGCACACCTCAAAGTAAAGTGTACTTTACTGCATTTATTTTTAGTTTGTATGTAATTTTCGGTGAGCTGGAACCAATTACCCAAACTCCCATTGAAACAATGATTTCGGTTAATGAAATTTTTGGTTAATGAACGACCTTCTGGAACGAATTGTGTTCGTTAACCGAGGGACCACTGTATAGCGATTTTAACACGTGTTACTGGGCATCCATTGTGTAGATTTCCGATGTGCGAAAGTGTACCAGTATGATATACCCTCATGAATTAACACCCCAGTGTTTATGAATTAAATTAAATAAGAGAATATTCCACACAAGAATGAGTTGTCTGTAGGTGACATTCTTTATACTGTACAGTATTGCTTTCAAAATTAATTAACACTAAGAAGAAAAAAAAATCCCTTCCTACCAATGGTCACCCAGGCTAACACTATTACAGTACTTCGCATAAGTAAGTGAGCCAACAATTTCATTCCTTTTCTACCATAATGTCTTACCTCTCTCTTCCGGTGAAATATCCTCATCATCACTTTCTTCTTCAGGTTCTGGTTCAATCAATGCTTTGGGTAGTTCATTTCCTCCTAACTGAATCCTGAAAGACAACAATAAAAAGTTAAATTAAGCATACATATATGCATGCATGCATAGTCTACATATGTACAGTCAAAAAAAAATTTCTGCACCTTTATGGTGTTACACAATATGACACACCGGACCATGAATTCTGAACAACACTCATTTACACAGGTGATTCCTGTTAATTTCTCTGTATTAACTATAAGTTATATTACTATAAGTTATATAAAAAATACATCATACTGGTTATACAATGCATCACTCAACCAGAAATACCAACCTTACCAAATTAACATGGCCTCAGTCAGTGATCGTTGCAGAGGCCATCAGACCAAGGGGTGCAGAACAGTTTTTTGTTGATACAGTTTACAAAATTCCTCTTCTTATCAATGTGACCGGTTCCGACTCAAGAGAGATCCTCCATATCCACAAAAAGAAACAAAGTGAGCTTTGCTGAAACCAGCAGCACAGCACTGAAATCAGTCTCAAGTTGTGAATGAATTACCCAGTCTTATTTCACATCTTGCTTGAGTTTGAAACTCACAGGTTTTGAAACTAAAGATTCATTTTACATGAGCTGTTGTGAGAGGCCGGCAAGGCAGGCCGCATCACTGAGCCGGGACCTGCCTCGCCGCTGACACTCATCCACTCTGTGAGTACAATTAATAATTAATATATATGTGTATAGTGTGTTTAGCAAAGATGTGGCATACTTAACTGATGTTATAAGTAAATAGTTTAGTTAGAACGAAACTAAGGACGTGTTCAATCGTTAAGCTTTTTATATATGGAGTGGCAGAGCTGCTGCAGTGTAGTGACCTGTGTGGCCTGCCGCTAGCGACCTAGCTAGCTGGCACAGCATGTTACCTTGTTAGGATTTGTGTGCCACTAGCCCACTACAGCAACTTTTCAACATAGTACTCACACCCTCGATGATGGATGCGGCCTCCAGTGTAACCCTGTGTACATGAAATCAAGTTGGCCCAAGTTGTCAAGTAACACCAGGCCCCACCTCTACCAGCCATAATTCATATTTTGTATGGTCTCCTTAATATGCTGCCTCTATTCTTAATTTATTATTGTTAATACATTTTTGTTTTTATAATTATTTTTATTTTTCCTTTGGTACAATCATTCATAGTTGAGAGATAAATGCAGAGTTAATCATAATTGGTGTACAGATCTATCAACCTTTAACGAATATCTTGAAGCAAGTCATGGGGGATTCCTATGCACAGGTTCTGTCCTGACACAAGACTCGGCAAACTGTTCCTATCCCCAACTCTATGATACCATTCCTCAGTCCTCAGACTTCTCTCGTATTGGCTGAGGTCCACATGAAAGAGGAGGGCACATCTGCTACTCCATATATATAATACAAGTAAAAGAAATAATTGTCCTAAGGGCAAACGCATAAAGGGAAGATACATTTCTTTGTACATAAGTAAAAATGTAAGGCCGCGTAAATGAAGACCCAACTGTATAGAGATTAATTCAATCAAAGACATATTCAATAAAAACAAGAACGAATCTTTTGTACATATTCTTAAAAAGATAAATGACACGGTATCCATAAATGCACACGATATGTTGGCATTCCCAATCCATCTCACTTTTTTCTTTGTCATTAGTGGTTAGCTACTTCTATTGTTCCATTTATTAACATTAAATAACATTACTTAAAACATATATACAGTAGGCTCTCACCAATAACGTTTAATAGGTGCCTGAAAAACACGGTTATTAGCGAAAACGTTATTTGTGTGACATTAAAATACATGTAAAAAGGGTTTATTGGTGCTGCCGCCACAAGAATTTCACCCATTTTTTCCCCTTGAAGCCCTCCTAAAACATTTTTGTAAGCTGAAATAAAAAAAATTTTTATTCAATCATCAAAATAAAGAGTTTGAGTAATATGACACCTAGCTTGGGGGAGTTTTTGAGGTGCTTGGTGAGATGGTTGTTCCGTATCTGAGGGTCACTAACACTTGCACTGTCTTTCATTCTACAAGCTAACCATTTCACAAGAAAATGCTCTGTTATCACTAACAACCTGTTTCTATCGCCTTTATCATTCATAGCTCGCCTCGCATTTCCATCACTACCGAAATATTTTTAGCCAGCATCTTGAATGAATGGATTTCTCAACCAATCATAACTTTCAACAGATTTATTTGGAAAATATTTTTTAATGTTCTTTTCTAGGCTTCTAAGATGCTCACCAACAGCAGAACCATCTCTTTAATATTTGACTAAAGAATCTTTGGAAAAATGTCCAAGTTGCCCTCTTTCACTTTAACACAACAGAGCCTCATTTTTTCTGCTAGAGCCATAACTTTGTCCGACAAGATAATATATTTTCATTTCTCCCTTGCATGCTGCTACTGTCCTTATTCAGATGTTAAAAAATATATGCCAAGTAACATAAATTGGCACACCAGGTTTCATCAGCTAATCTTTCAAAAAATTTAAGCTTCTCTTCAAGAGTAAAGAAGCTAAGCATTTCCTCCCTCAAATCATGTACTCGAGACAACACTCTTCCTCTCGATAACCATCTGACTTCAGTGTGGAGGATAAGGGGTACACGAGGAGACCCCATTTCTTCACAGCGCATGGAGGTTGCTTATTACATTAACAAGAATGACAAATTAGTCCTCATCAATTACCCTAGGTTTGGAGTTATGATCATTTACAGTAGTTCGATCACACATATCTACTTTTTCAGCAGATTTTCGCAGCATGCAGTTTGGGAATCACTGAATTAAACTCTACAGGAAATTCACAATTCAATAATTCACGATGTCTTCTGGTACCTAACCAGCAACTCAGCATGACTCCACTATATCACAATACACGAAACTTATTGTTTTGTTAGTACTAAATCAAAGTACTGTACCGGGTATCAAACTCCGAACCTTTATCCCTCTCCTTGTGGACGTGCCCTATATGGAGCAATCCACCTCTGGCAGTTAAATGTGGATGTTCTGACAAGCCATATATGGAACAGAACCTGATAGTATATGTCAAAAGTGTCATGCTTGGTGTACACTTAAAATTCATGCCAGCTGGAATAGACGGGTTAAGATAAATTTGGCTAAAGTCTAAAATGATCATCAACTGCATAAAATACAGTACAGTACTCACTTTTTTGCTAAAAGGTCAGCATCCAAACCATCATGTTCATCTCCAGAGTCTCCCTCTTCATATTTAGCAAATGGTGTCTTGGGCTCTTCAATTTTCATGTGCCCATAATCTTTGTCTTTTGGATGGAGGGTCGCTAAAATGTTCATCTCATCCCATTTTGTTCCCTTTCTGCAAAAAAAAAAAAAAAAAGCCATTAGTGACATACTGTAGAGTCAATGTTTAGTACAGTACAGTACAATGTAAACAGAAATTACTTACCCTATATTGTCAGTGTTCTGTACAGGTGAACAGTATAAAAAAAATTACTTTACTCATCAGCCACTTTTTTTTTAATATGGCAACAAAATAAAAGTAATTTACTGTACTTTATATATGGTCAAACCTTGTCCAAGATAGGAAATATGACATTGTAATTTCACGGTACTGTGTCAATAGCTATGCATGCCTGGCTAGAAAATATTGTAAAGTAGGCATTTATCTTTCACTCACTCACACTTCCCAGCTTCCCTTCTCAGAAACATTTCAGTTTTGTGATGTACGGATCTTGCCCATTGACTTCACACACCTCACCAGGTGTTTCTATCCTCCAACCCCAAGAACAAACCAGTGTAAATTAAGGGTCTTGACCATCAGCACATTAGCGATCAATTACTAGAGGCAGTAATAATGGCTGAAACTACTGTATACTCTTTCCACGCTTACCTGGCCCGTAGGCCACGCCCCTCTTCTGTACTGATAGCCGATTGGTTCATAGAAAATTCAAACTAAATTTGTTCACAATGGACAAATTGACGGTTCTTTAAACACAGGAAATACACTCTGCCATGTTCGTAGAGTGATGCTATATATAATTTGTAATAAAGTGGTCCCTCGGTTAATGAACACAACTCATTCCAGAAGGTCGTTCGTTAACCGAAAATTTCGTTAACCGAATCCAATGTTTCAATGGGATATTGAGTAATTGGTTCCAGCTCACCAAAAAGTACTACATACAAAGTAAAAAAAAAAACGGTTGATGATGGGAATTAGAAGTAGGGGTGGAGGAGAAGAGAGAAGAGAAGGAACAGGGGATGGAGGAGAAATCACCTTTCAGTGGACCCATGCTTGATGCCATCATTTCACCAATAAAATTTTAAGTTCACTAGGTGTAATTCAAGATTATTTTCTTTAAATCAACACTGCACTGTGCTATTTATTATCAATATGTTAACTAAAGTTCAGAATGACGAATAATTTCAATGAAAAATGCAAAAATATTCAAGACACCAACAAAATAGATGCTTTCTCCACTGTTTTCAAAGCCCAACTGACGCCTTGTGGCCGACTCACGCATCTGATGGGCACACAACAAACTAGTTCCCTGTACTGTATATATTATCAATATGTTAAATAAATGTTAAAATGACTAATAATTTTAATATAAAACATGCAAAAATATTAAAGAGCACAACTTTATTGACATTTACTCCATTGGAAATGAATGTAAACAGAACAGATTACTGAATGGGCGGACTAGCTCATCAGCTGATCAGCTGATGCTCACAACGAAACGTGATGTTCGTAAGGATTTCGTTAAACGAATTTTTGTTCGTAAACCGAATTGAAGATTCTTATGGAAGGTAATTTGTTAACCGAACCGTTCGTTAACCGAGGGACCACTGTACTAGTTTAAAGTTCTGCTATTATAGTCGAGATAAGTTTTTTCTCTAGAAACAGGGCCGCCATTTGCAATGACGTCACCACCTACCCAGCAGACGATGCACGGATGGAGATACGAGTCAATTGATAAGTAATGACATTGTTTGGATCTTGTTTTGAGAGTGCCTGTGCTAGGTAAACATGACAACACAGTGTTGTTATTGTTTTTATGATTCACTAATGAATCACTGGGATATATCATCATTTATATTAATTAATGGGTAAAATTTTACTCTAACTACCATAAGTATTTGGATGCTTAGATTCGAGATAGGCTATATTGGGTAAATTTTAAGTTTTGGTCATCCCTGTACTTACATGCAGACTATGTTTTTTTTTCTGGTGGTTTGCGATGTGTTATGAACGAATTTACACCTTCATTTTTATCGGAAATCAATAGTTTTGAGTTACCCCCCCCACCAGTGTATGTTAAACTAACCTTATAACCCATCATAACCTAACCTACAGTATATGACCTGTATTTTCTAATGGGATCGAAAAATGTTTTGCAACAGAAATCCAGGAGAGATAATGTGTCTTATTGTTTAAGGTACAGTACTGTACTTAATCCCATAGTTAGAATCTTAAGGTTTCCCAAATGACCAAAACTTAAAACAGTACAGTAATACTAATATTGTCGTGTATTGTTTGGAATGTTTATATACAGTTGGGTCTTCATTTATGCGGTTAATTGAACCCACGTTGTTCCGCGTAAAACGAGAAACGCGTAAATGAAAAACAGAACACTGGGATTAATTGAAATAGAGACTGGGCCCACCCCCAAACTCCACTTTTTCCAACAATACCGACACAATACATACGTTGTAGTAAAAATAACATCTTAACATTATGATGGTATGCACACACACATAATATAGAAGAGAAATATCAATAAGAGAATAATATACTGTACCAGGTAAAAGAAAAATCAAGGTTTAACACTTACGTCAGGTTAGGTTAGAAAAAATCAAGGTTTAACACTTATGTTAGGTTAGGTTAGAAAATATCAAGCTTAGGTTAGGTTTAACACTTACGTTAGTAGAAGAGATGGGTCGGCGTACGGGAATGGCGGCTGGTTCCGAGGCAGAGGGCAGATTACTGGCCCTCAGGTGAATCACCATCACTATCCACCATAGTTGTCAGGGCCTCCCTGACAAATCCCTCAAAGTCACCATCACTGTCACTATCACTGGCTTGGGCTGGGTGTGGTGGGTTGCAGGCGAAGAAGTCTGTGATGTTACGCTGACGGCTAGTGTTGATGTTGTCGTGATACACCTTGATGTATGGCTCCATAGTCTGCAACACCTGGTTATGGAAAACTTCATAGCGGTTATTGTCATGGTCGTTGGAAAGGATGAGCTTCAGTTTCTCTGCACACTCGATGGCATCCTTAACATTACCATGCGTTAACTTCTGTTCTTCTCGGGTTGACGCATCACCTGCTCTTCACTGACGTGATCGTCTTCTAACAACTCATCGGCAGTCACCTCAGACCCCTTTATCACCTCCATAATGTCGTCGTTGGTGGTCTCGGAGAAGCCTGCAGCTGTAACACTCTGCCCAGCTTCTCTGGCAAGGTCCACTGTCACTACAACAGACTGAACCTCACCAGTCACAGGTTGACTCTGCCTCCCACCTGGGATACCTTGCAACACATGCCGCCACACATGATGAATCATTGCTACAGACAGCTGATCCCATGCCTCCACCAAGAAATCCACAGCTTTCTTGACGTTAAATTTCTTCCAAAACTGTTTCACGCGAACTTCTTGGTCCGCCAACTCTTGTTCCTCGTCCTCGTCGCTCTGGCTATCGGTGTCACCCAGGTTACTCAACTCATCCTTGGTGTTGGTATAGTCGTTCAGGAGCTTAAACTTCTTTGCGGAGAATGCAGTCATAACGTTGCATATCAACTCCTGGTCCATGGGCTGGATTAACGACATAGTGTTGGGAGGAAGGAAGACCAGTTTTACATTGGGGTGAAGATCCAACAGTAGGGGCTAGTGTCCTGGTGCGTTGTCAAGGAGTAACAAAATGTTGAATGGATCATTCTGTTGCGCGCAGAATTTCTTGACGTCGGGAACGAAACAGTCATCAAACCAGGAGAGGGACAGAGCTGTGAACATCCACGCCTTACGTGCGGTTAGGCAGTGGACATTTAGCTTGGTCATGTCCATGTTCTTGTAGGCGTACGGCTTGCGGGCTGTGTGGATCACCGATAACTTGAGTTTACAGGTACCGGAGGCATTGGTGGTAAACAAAACGGTGATGCGCTCCTTCTAAAATTTCCGGCCCCGACACTTGCTGGCAGACTTGACAACGAAGGTCTTGGAAAGTAGCTTTTTCCAAAACAGACGGGATTCATCCATGTTGAACACCTGGTCGTCGGTATACTGTCCTTCCTCCATAACGTCACGTAAGAACGGGGGAAAATCACTAGCCGCAACAAGGTCAGCACTCGCTCCTTCACTACCAATGTTATGTTGGTGATCTTGTTCCTCTTCTTAAACCCTTGCAGCCACCCAGAGGAAGCATTGAAGGGTTTGGGCTCTGCAATTCCCATCTTACGTGCCACTGCTACGTACAGTTCACGTGTGTACTCTTGAACCGACCGCGTGTCCACTGCCATGTTCCGTCGTGCCTGACGAATCAAGTAGCTCACAAGTAAATTCTCCGTCTTGAGAAGCGTCTTGTTCTGGCAGTACTTCACCATTGAAGCACCTGCAGACTTTGTGATGTTCATGTGTTCTTTTATCTTGGCTGCATCCTTCTTGATCGTCTGGATCGTAGATTCGTTAACACCATGCTGGCGCGCGAGATCAACCTGTCTTGTTCCTTTTCTAACTCTTGTATTATATTGTACTTCACCGAGTAACTTAGGGCACATCGTATCTTCTTTGGCTTAGGGTGGCTGGGTCCAGGTAATGCAAGGTTTTTCTGTGGTGGTGGAGATCCAGTGGAAGCCATTCTTACCAGATTAGCGAGATTATCCGAACAATAGAACACAGTATACACGGGGTGACTGGGAGGATTGTAACTGACGCGGTTAGGTCAGCGGCTTCATCCCTCCCGCGGCAGGGCAAGTCATATTACATTAAATCAATCATAGCTAGCAGCGGAGGGAGGTAAGGATGCGTGGCCCACAGTACGATACGTCATCGATAACGCAACAGAGACATACACTGCGCAACCTACTCGCGCCGGTTACCCAACATGGCGGGATGGCGGGAGGTTTGAATCCAAAAAATGGCGCAGAGCGAAAGGACCGCCAGTAGCTCTCCGCGTAAATGACCAAACTTACCGTGTAAATCAAGCATCCCGCTTCTGGCAAAGTACCGCGTAAATGACAAAACGCGTAAACGAAAACCGCGTAAATCCAGACTCGACTGTACTATGAAATTTGTAGCATGGGCAGCTAATATCCATTGAATTAGTTAATGTGCTTAGTAATATCTATATATTCAAAACAGTATTACTATGTTGCACAGTAAAGCACAATTAATTACCTAATAATATTTATTTAAAGAGCTGATTGGCCGAGAAGGTTGGACAGCTTCATCCAGGATTCATCAAGGCAGATGAAAGAAATTTACCAAAAGTAGATGTCATTATGATAGTACAGTCTCTCCTCGACTTACGACAACCCGGACATACAACGGCCAGGGTCGTATAAAATATTTTTCACATTACAGTATAGTCTCGATTTACACGGATTTCCTTTATGCGTTTGGTCATTTACGCAGCATCTGGCCAGACCGGCAATTATTAGTTACACGGTACATTCCATCATTTACGCAGGAAGCGGCGCAAGCAGGGTGCGCACACGGTCGCCCAGTCAACAAAACATTACCGAGTTCTTCACCCGCCACCCACCACAGCCAGCCCAAGTCAGTGATAGTGAGGATATGGACTTTGAGGGGTTTGACAAAGAGGCCCTACAAGCCTCTGTGGTGGATAGTGATACAGGTGATACAAGTGATACAGGTGAGGGCCAATAATCTGCCCTCTGCCTCGGAACCAACCCCCCATCCCCGTGTACCCAACCATCTCTTCTACTAACGTAAGTGTTAAAAAACCTACTATTATTGATATTTCTCTTAAATATTAATTGTGTGTGCATACCATCATAAAATTAAGAGGTTATATTTACTACAACGTACGTATTGTGTCGGAAAAAGGATAGTCTGGGGGTCGGCCCAGTCTCTATTTCAATTAATCCCATGTTCTGTTATTTCGTTTACGCGTTTCTCGTTTTACGCGGACCTCCACGGGTTTAATTGACCGCGTAAACCGAGACTATACTGTACATATTTTCGAATCCCGACGTTAGTGATCGCACTGTATACTGACAAAATTTTTGTTTGTAATTCCCTTTAAAATGGCTGGCATGCATAAAAGTGAGTTTTCTCGTGCTGCTGAGAAGAAAAAGAGACACCCATTTTAGAATTTCTATGCATTATTTTCAACTTTTCGACTTAAAACCTGGTTGTCGGGACGGAACCCTGTCATAAGTTGAGGAGAGACTGTAGAGTATTGTCAAGAACGCGGCCATCCAGCTATGAAGCACGTTAAATTACATATGTCATCTGAACACCTCAAGCCCATCCCCTGGCCATGGTTATCTCTAGTCCTTCCACAACATTAAATATAGACATCAGTGACGAAAACTTACATTTTCCAGACACGAAATAGAAAACAGTGATGGAAACTTCCATATTGGAGTTATCGGTCTTTTGCATCATTTTGGCAGCCAGCAAGTAAATACACACGATGATACTTGAGCAGCAATTAATTTTAACTTAAAAATAAGGCATGCCTGTATATATCAACATTGTATATGGCCACAAGTCCTGTATTTCTGCTGGTAACAACACATACACCACAGCTGGCTGCCTCGAGGCTCCCGCTTGGTGACTCAAGCTAGTATGTGAAGTCACAACCAATCACAGAGCTTTTCGCAGTCACCTGACTTTTTAGCAACTTTAACCCTTATTTTTTACACTTTTTGTTCCAATTTATTTAAATATCATTACCATAGTTAATTTAAGAATTTTCTTTACCCATTGACCTGCCATCTTACGAAAAAATTCCAATCATCAACTCAATCCATATATTTAACATTATTTTAGATGATATCAGGTCTGCTTACCAATGGATTTCAAAACCCAAATCATTTCAAGGCATTAGCACTTCAGAGAAGATGTTAGAAAATGTTAAATATTTATTAAAAAAAGTCGATATAAATACGCGTTTATATATATGCTATCCAGGGGAGGTAAAACACTCAGGGGAACCAATCAGCTATTTGTAGCTATAGACGAGGGGCGTGGCTAATGGGCCAGCTTAGCGTGGAAATACTATACAGGTGCTCCTCTACTTAAGAACATTCAACTTACAAACTTTCAGATACAAACATCATCACTGAAAGGGGTTACCTGCCAGAACAAACATTACCTAAGAGAAAAAGAGTGAGCCAGGTTTTAAGGCTGTAATAAAGGGTATAGCTGTACTAAATATCCATAATCTTTTCATTTTTTACAATATGTTTGGTATCTACAAGAGTATAGTTGGACTTACAAACAAGCCTCAGGAACGTAACTCGTTTATAAGTGGAGGAGCACCTGTAGTTTAACAGTCATGTCGCACCTTATGCAGGGGTCACGTTCATAAGAGGGCACATAAAGTCAAAAACACATAAAGTAGTCAAAATTATCCTTGAAAATCCCTTAAATCACCCATAAAGTAAATGGTTATATAGGTACTACAGTACAGCTCCTACCCGACTTACGACGGGGTTAGGGACCCAAATCCAGGTCGTAAGTCGAAAATGCGAAAATAATACAGTGGTCCCTTATTTTCAATTTTGTATTTATTATAAATTTTATTTTCTATGAATTATTATTACTATTATTATTATTAGTGTTATTATTACATTTTTGCCACCCAGGCCCCAATGTGGGTCAGTGACCTGTGCCCGGGTGGGGTAATCCCCATAAAAAAAAAAAAAAATAAGAAAATACTCCTCTGAAAAGTCTGCCGAGCCACCGCGTGTTACTTTTATCCTCTTCGCCACTGACTGGCTCGTTAGCCACTTGGCAATCCGTCATATCTCTATTACACACTGTTGGCAAGTTCTGACTCCTGAATGTATCTGAACCTGTTCCAGTGTTGGTCAATTTTGGTCTTGAAAGAGCTCACCCTCGGAGCCGTCACAACACTCCCTGGCAGATTGTTCCAACAGTTCACAATTCCTACTCCCAAAAAGTTTGCCCTCACAGTTTTCTGGACCTGTGGCTTCTTCAACCTTAGGCTGTGACCTTTTGTGGGGCAGGCGTCCACCAGCTCCAGGTATGCAGGCATTCTACGCTCTGTGAGCATAAAATGACACCATAACACTTCAACAAAGTTGTTTTCATTAATACCAGGTATCATTACCTGTTTATTATGGCAGGGGGTCCAGGGTTAGATCAGGTTCTATTTGGTTCTAGTTGGTAATTACTGTAAGTATTTATGACTTCACAGCCGCTGATTTTTCATGTAAAACGAATTTTAAAATACAGCAATTTCACTATGTTTTATAGTGGACTCTTTCATAGCTATGGAAATGTGTTAAAAAGTGTTTATTTAAAAGTTCAAGCTAACCTAACCTAACCTTACACTAACCGGTAATTACTGACGACTGACCCGCGGCCGATTTTTTTTTAATTATTAAAAATGCCACAATTTCACTATTTTATAGTGAAGATTGTCATAGTTTGTGCAAATGTATTAAATAGTGGTTATTTTTAAATTAAACCTAACCTTAGTTGAAATGAAAAACAAGCAGCAGAAGCGTTGTTAGACGACATCACCAACCTACCCTAACCTAACTCAAGAGCCCCCAGGACCCCCCGGTATATTAAACAGAAAGAACTTACTATGATATGGTGTAATTTTACGTTTTTTTGTGGACCTGAGAACAGCTGTCCGTACCAAATGATTCTTAGGCCTCATACACACCAAGATACATTATCTAGAAACAGTCATACAACAATGTTTCTGGACTGTTGCGAGACACTCCAGAAACAGTTGCGAGACTGTCGAGAAACACTTGGGAGACACAGCAACATTGTTTCTGGATTGTCTAGCAACTGTTGCGAAACAGTCCAGAAACAATCGGTAAACTTTGTTGCTGGACTGTCTTGTGATTGTTTTGCAACAGTGTTGCATGTCCAGACCAAGTTAGAGTCATGCGTTGGCAAGAAGTGCAGTCGACTTCATGTCGGTGGATGCAGAAGTAGCCACTGTGGCGGGTGCCTGTGTTGTTATTTCTTTAGAAGAAAGAAGGCTGAGAGCAAGGAAAACACCTAGACGATGGTGGATGAAGAAATTTTTTGATGAAGGAACAACATATGAAGAAAAACTAATGACAGACCTGAAACTAGAAGATGCAGCTGGATTTAGAAACTTTTTAAGAACAGTTTCAATTTTGAAATATTACTGAAAATGGTTGGTCCCAAAATCACAAAGCAAAATACAAACTATTGAGCCTCAATCCCTGCCAAAATATGCCTGGCAGTAACATTAAGGTATCTTGCCAGTGAGGACTCATTTACAAGCCTGATGTATACCTTCAAAGTGTCAAAACAGTCAATAACTGCCATCGTTCCGGAAGTGTGTGACGCTCTCATTGATGCCCTGAAGGAATTTGTAAAAGTAAGTTTATTAAAATATTTGACATATTGTAAAGGGGAAAATAATACTCAATTAAAATGCATAAAAAATAAGCTGGAAAAATCATTTATTGTGCCATGCACATATCAATTACAGACACCTACCAATAATACTATTCATTGTTTGATTGTTTTTGTCTCCTTTTCATTAATTTTCTTTCATCTTTTGCTTTACTCTTTTTGTGTAAATAAAATGGTTGCCAAATGCATCCAAATTGAGAAACTTTATGTGGTGTTTCCCATATGGGATGGGAAACAAGAAACACCCGAAATAGTGTTTTGGGACTGTTGCGAGACAATCGCGCAACAAATATGGATTTTTCTGAGACAATGTTGGGCAACAATGTATCTCAGTGTGTACGTAGCTTTAAGCATACACTGAGCATCAGTGTTGATCAAGTCCGGGCAGCAGTGTTTTGAAATACGTCAATATGTTTTTTGTTTTTTTTACAGGGATTAGCCCACCCGGGCACAGGTCACTAACCCACATCGGTGCCTGGGGGTGCAAAAATGTAATAAAATTAATAATAATAATAATAATAATAATAATAATAATAATAATAATAATAATAATAATAATAATAATAAAAATAATAATAATAATATAAATATTTGTACAAGAATGAAAAAAAAATCAAAAGTGAGAAACATTATATGTATGTTCTGTTGTCAATAGTAAGAGAAACAATTGAGACCCTGCAATTGTGTGTAAATGAAGCAGAAAGTCAGATCAGCAACCTGGGACTTGGTCACAATTTTCATGTTGGCATCTGGCAGCAGGATCTACCATTAGACAATACAGTTCCCTCGGTTACCGAATTACCTTCCATAAGAATCTTCAATTTGGTTAACGAACAAAAATTCGGTTAACAAAATTTTTACAAAATCATGTTAACATGTTTTCGCTTGCTCACCAGCTGGAATATTAGTCCGCCAATACAGTGGTCCCTCGGTTAACGAGCGCCTCGGTTAACGAGATTTCGGTTAACGAGTTACCTTCCATAAGATTCTTAACTTCGGTTAACGAGCAATCCCTTGATTAATGAGTTTTTTACGAGTTGACCTGAACATGTTTTCGCTTGCATTTGGCGGTCCACCAGCTGTAGTATTAATCCGCCAGTACAGTAATCGGTTCTAGGGTTTAAATTCCTTACCATTTTAGTAAATATCAAGAAGTTTATACTATTCAATAATTTTAAAAGTTTAATATTAAATTTTTTAGTAATTTTAACAATTATTGAACATGCCATCCAGCCTGCCAACACACCATACAGGCATCAGTCTTTGTGTCTTTTCAGTGGAGGTAACATCTTGCTTGAGACTCTCTTCAACTAAATGGTTTTTTCTCTGTTTCCAAGCAAATTATTGGTCATTTTGAAATTTATTTTAAATATTGACAATATATAATGCATCATCATCCAGGAGCCTTCTACATACACACCTCAAAGTAAGTGTACTTTTCTACCTTTTTTGTTGAATTTAGGCAATTTTCGGTGAGCTGGAACCAATTACCGGTACCCCAAAACCCTTTGAAACAATGGTTTCGGTTAACGAGTTTTTCAGTTAACGAGCAACCTTCTAGAACGGATTGTGCTCGTTAACCAAGGGACCACTGTACAGTAATCAGTTCTAGGGCTTAAATTCGTTCCCATTTGAGTCAATATCAAGAAGGTTGTACTATTCAATAATTTTCCAAGTTTTATATTAAATTTTTTAGTTATTTTAACACCTGCTGTATTTAACATAATTATAATACAGAAAACTAGTTTTTGGTGTGCCAATCAGCCACTTGACTCGCCCAGCAAGGCGTCAGTTTGTATCTCTGGTCAGTGGAGGTGACATCTTGCTTGTGGCTCTCTTGAACATAAACTATTTTTGTTTTTACAGTACAATTATTGGTCAATCTGAAATTTATTTTACATATTGACAATATATAGTACAGTATATATAGTACAGTGCAGCATGGGGTGATTTCTCTTCCACCCCCACATCCTTCTCTTCTCCCTTCTCCACCCCCACGTCTAATTCCCATCATCATCAACCAGGAGCCTTCTACATACACACCTCAAAGTAAGTGTACTTTACTGCATTTATTTTTACTTTGTATGTAATTTTCGGTGAGCTGGAACCAATTACCCAAAACCCATTGAAACAATGGTTTCAGTTAACGAAATTTGCGGTTATCGAACGACCTTCTGGAACGAATTGTGTTCGTTAACCGAGGGACCACTGAACATTATGCTGTTTACATCTTGGGATGAGATGTCACCATTGCATTACCGCCGAAAAGACAAAGTAGTGCGTGCCTAGGCACCTAATTATCTCCCAAACGAAACATTTGCACAAGAAATGATGGTAAATATTCGCCCATTGGCTGTCCTCAGGTTAAACAAAAGTAAGATTTTGGGGTGTATTATTGTGTTTTACTCAAATCTGACCTTCATTTCTTGTTGTAAATTAGCATTTTTTTAATTAACATTTTCATTTGCAAAAAAATGAACAGAAAAACAAATTACTCGTCCGAGGGTCAGTCGTTAATATAAACCAACTAACCTCACCTAACATTAAACTAACCCAAACTAACCTAACATTAAACTAACCTTAACTTACCCCAGCATAACTTAACAGCTGTCACGGGCAAGCTTACTGTTGGGTCAGGATCATCTCGCACCCAAGATAATTCGTACCCACGACAAATCGTATCCAACTCACGAGATAAGTCTTACCCAAGATTACTTGCACCCAATTAAAGAGATAATCCGTACCTATGAGTATATATACCATGCACTTTAGCTTTACTTATGATTACAAAAAAAGATTATGTAAATCTTGTTGGAAAGTACAGTGAAATAGTGTCGTAAGTCGGGGAGGAGCTGTATATATATATATATACTGTATATATATATATATATATATATATATATATATATATATATATATATATATATATATATATATATATATATATATATATATATATATATATATATATGTATATATAAATAAATATATATACAGTATATATATATATAAATATACATATATATATAATATATATAAATATATATATATATATATATATATATATATATATATATATATATATATATATATATATATATATATATATATATATATATATATATATATATATATATATATATATATATATATATATATATATCAATTATATTATCCTAACTTTAGTTTGAGGAATTATTTATTACTATACCTGGTTTTCCCCCCAAAATTTCTCAGAGGGAAGAGCCAGTGAGTGTACTGTGAGAAGAGGGGGAGGGAGGTGGAGTCCATTATTTGAATGGACATTAACTTGGCGACTGTATTTCTCTATTTCTCTTAAGTATTAATTGTGTGCATGTACCATCATAAAATTAAGATGTTATTTTTACTAGAACATAGGTATTGTGTCGGAAAAAGTGGAGTTTGGGGATGGGCCAGTTTTTATTGGAATTAATCCCATATGTTCTGTTGTTCACTTAACGCGGTTTTCACTTAACACGGTACCCTCTGGGTTTTATTGACTGCGTTAAGTGGGGTACAACTGTATATATATATAACGAATCTAATTGGTTCTAGAACCTTGTTCGTTATAGCATTCGTTCGTTATAGGATTAATCCGTTCCAGGCCCCCAAATACAACCACTTAACACTGAAAAATATAATATAAAATTGTAAAAATTGTAAAAAGTGCATAAATATGCATCTAAACCCCTGAAATTAAGAATATCATTAATACTTGTAATAAAAAAACAATAAATTAGTAAAAAAAAAAGAAAAAAAAATTCAAAAAAAAAAAAAAAATTCCAATTTAAAAAAAAAAACTACAATGAAATGCAGTACACTAAACGTAATAAATAATGAGGAATGGATACAGTATGACTGAGCACTTACCTTAAATGTAGTCAGCTAAATGCACACGGGGCCCCCATAATTTTCTATTTACAGGATACATGGAGACTATATTAATTGGAAGAAGCAGAAGAGGAGACAGGGCTGGGTGGGTCATCAATGTCGCTTTCTTCAGACAGGTTTATGTGCTGTGGAAACATGCTGGTTGAAGGTAATGGATCATCTTGAGGGCGTGAGGAGACAGCACTGGGGGACTTCTTGAAATAAATGTCCAATTTTGACTGCACAGTTTGCTTTTTCTTTTCCTTATAAATCTCCCTGTAGCAAGCTAGTGACTCTTAGACCATTCTGTCAACTTTGGCATAACGCTCATAATTTTGATTCATGCCATCAAACATTTGCATTCCTTTATTAATTGTAGCAAATGCCTCTGCCATATGTTTCACTGAAAACTTTTTGGGGGGTGCAGGTTCTTCTTCTACATTTTGTCTCTCTTCTTCCTCTGCAATTTTCTGTGCATCTAGTTCAATAAGATCCTCGTTACTGAGCTCTTCTGCTACACTTTCAACCAACTCTCCAACATCTTCATTATCAATTTCTAACTCCAGCTGTTTACCTAACTCCACTATCTTGTTACTAATATCCGAAATAACTTCATTTTCATTAACTCCTTTGAAACTGTATGTCCGGTCAGGCATGCGCTTCCACAATAATCCAGTCTCATCCACATTGAATATTTGCTCAGGCAAATAATTCCCTTCCACAATCACATCATCTAACTCCTCCTTAAAAGCTTCGGCAGCACCAACATCGGCACTAGCTGCCTCTCCACTCACCTTAACATTGCGTAGACTGTAGCGTTTTTTAAATCTATCAAACCACCTATGACTTCCTGTAAAGGTTTGATCACATTCATCTCCTGCCTGCTCCTTCAGGCTTTGGAACAGGCTTCTTGCTTTAGCCTGTATGGTTAGAAGGCTTAAGTGTGCACGCTTCTGTGTCTGGTCTTCTATCCATATCACCAATAATTTTTCCATATCGTAAATAGGACCTTGTCTTCTCTTTGATATTATAGTTCCCTTTATCGGCACTGTT